CCCTTCATCCCTACCCATATATCTCAAGTAATAAAAGACACAACAGTGGCTAGACCCCATAAACTGGGTGTTAAAGAGTTAAGGATAGAGATCCATTAATTCATTCACTGAATATTACTGAGTTCTTATACATACTCAGCTGTATGCACCGTTCTGAGCACTAGGTATACATCAATGAACAAAGTAAAGTCTCTACATATGGAGCTTACATTCAAACGCATAAGATACAAATAATAAAATGAATAAATATAAGGTGGAGATGTGTTTTTAAGAAAAAAACATGGTGCACTAAGCACTAGGTATACATCAGTGAACAGATGTATAGCTTCTACATATGGAGTTAAGCAAAGCAAAGTTTCTACATATGGAGCTTACTTTCAAATATGTAAAATAAAAATAATAAAATGAATAAATATTATGTAAGGTGGAGATAAGTGTTATTAAGAAAAATACATGGGCTGGGCATGGTGGCTGCAGGTGCAATGGCTCATGCCTGTAATCCCAGCACCTTGGGAGGCCAAGGTGGGCAGATCACCTGAGGTCAGGAGTTCAAGCCCACCCTGGCCAACATGGTGAAACCCTGTCTCTACTAAAAATACAAAAAAAAAAAATTAGCAGGGCACAATGGCATGCACCTGTAGTCCCAGCTACTTGGGAGGCTGAGGCAGGAGAATCACTTGAACTCGGGAGTGGAGGTTGCAGTGAGCCAAGATCATACCACTGCACTCCAGTGTGGGCAACAGAGCAAAACTTTGACTTAAAAAAAAAAAGAAAAAAGAAAAAAATGTGGTGCCAAGATTAAAAGAATTACTGGGTTTGCCATGTACATTAACTTCTGTATGCTCAATATGTATTAACTTCTTTATGCTTGGCATACATACTAACCTCTATATGCCCAACACTTAACACTCAATAAATTTCTATTGAATTAATGAACAAACTTATGAGACACTCTATGGTAGCCTCTATCTCATTGGTAACAGTGACAATACTGTAGCTAGTGACATTTATCTAAATACAGTAGGTCTGAATTCTAAAAGGCGATAGGATTATTAAAGACTAGAACAGTGAAAAATAAAAAATAACCAAATTTCTGATCATGCTGGAGTAGACAGAACAAGAAGGTCACATATATAAGAGAACCAAAGGGAAAAGGCTAGCAGGTCTGTGCCCTTGCTCTAGGTTCTTGAGATATGGCTGAAAGAAATTAGTAGTCTTTTAAGGGTTGTGTTTATAGAAGCTTCTGGTTAGGATTTGAGTAACCATGCCTAGGGAAGGTCTTAAAAATGAATCCTCTGCTTAGGAAGACAGATGTCTATGGAACTGGGAAAATAGAAAAAGAATCAGAAAATGAATCATTACTTTTCACCTATTCTAGAAATTCTAAAATAAACTTGAGTTTATCTTCAGGGAAAGTTTTCAAAGAAATAGTGCTTTTAAACTTGAATATGCTTTAACAGGGAAAGTACCTTACATTCTGTTAATCTCTCTGAAAAATCCTGGGCTAGCAATTCCTAACACTGGGGAAGGAAGGATTGCAGAGTGATAAATGAGACCACCCTTACATCATCCACACTGTCTTCTATTTTCCATTTACTGCTACACACACACACACACACACACACACACAAGAACATCAAATTTATAATTGGCAAATGTATAGGGAAATTTGTCATACCGTTCACCATTCCAAAATATGATGGAGCTACCCTAAATATGGTTTAAAATCACATACTTTTATGTTAAAAGGATACTATACCTTTTGTAGTATGTGAAAATCAGATATGCTCACAGGAACTAGATGACCTCACCAACTCAAAGCAGGGAGGGGTCACATATATGAATGTTGAGTAGTACTCAAAAAAGCAGCTAAACACAAGAGCATTTGAGAATTTCTTTTAGAAGAGAGTGGAAAGTTCCTTTTTCGAGATTGGGTAGAAAGAGGATCATGGAATTTTAAACTGAGGTATTGTCTCCTTTTATAGAAAGGGAGAGCAAAGATAAAAAACATAATAAACTCATAGGCTAAATTTTCAAAACCCATCCTCAGTAATTTTTTCCCATAAAACAATATACTGGAAAAAGAGAGCCATAAAAAATAACAGCTGGACATGGTGGCCCACACCTGTAATCCCAGCACTTTGGGAGGCTGAGGTGGGCAGATCACGCGGTCAAGAGATTAGACCATCCTGGCCAAGACAGTGAAACCCCGTCTCTACTAAAAGACAAAAATTAGCGGGGTGTGGAGGCACATGCCTGTAGTCCCAGCTACTCAGGAGGCTGAGGCAGGAGCATTGCTTGAACCCAGGAGGCAAAGGCTTCACTGAGCCAAGATTGCGCCACTGCACTCCAGCCTGATGCCTGGCGACAGAGCAAGACTGTTTCCCAAAAAAAAAAAAAAAAAAATCACTAGCTAGGAAATAAATTCCATGCCAATCAGAACATTCTAGATGGGGAGCTCACAAGCAACAGAGAGATAAAAAGACATTTGGCACTAAATTGTTGTCCAAATATATGAGCCCTGGAAGAGTGTAAATCCAAGACACAGAATCTGATTGGATTTATATAGAATGTTCCAATTAGGTCCTAGGAAAAGATTAAAAATATCAAATCAACTTTTACAATTTCCTAAAAGATGGTTAGAACCAGGCTGCCTGGATTTTAACACTGAGTTTATCACATACTAGGTGTGTGATCCAAGGCAAGTACATGTTTTTATGCCCTCAGTTTCATCACCTCTTAAATGGGAACTACAGCCTCTCATGGGATTATTGTGAAGTTTAAATGTGCATAATTCTTATACAGATATTTAGCATAGCCTCTGGGGCCTCACCCTGTCACCCAGGCTGGAGTGCAGTGGCACAGTAACTCACTGCAGCCTTGAACTCCAAGGCTCAAGTGATCTTCCCGTCTCAGACTCCCAAAGTGCTGGGATTATAGGAGTGAGCCACTGTGCCCAGCATTAGTTAGTATTTTAATGTTATTGTTACATTGCTAAACACAGCTAATGGGAATTTCTTTATATTAAGAAAAAAATGTGGGAAGACACGTTGATCTCACTATTGATCATTATCTAGGACATTAACTAGATTTTTCACAAACCACATAGCTTAGGCCTCTCTTCCTACTACTTAGACTATACTCAAGCTCAAGCTTTTTTTAGGGGAGAAGTAAGCTTTTTAAAAACCTAAGTGGTGCCAGAAAATGTCACGAAATACTTACCAGCATAAAAATATACCTAATATTTCCATATAAGAAGTTTAATCTATGAAATAGTCAAAATCAAATTTTTGTGAGCTGTTTTCAATCCTATGTCCAGCATTTTGCCCCTTCTAAGTTCATCTTCAGATTTAATTAACAATCAGTTTCTAATCATTTATAATCAAGTCTAGGTGAAGATTTTTAAAGTTGACTTTTATTGTTTTTGGGAAACATTTGTCTGCTCCATTATAACTTTTCTTTGGTTAGAAACAGAACTTACAGGCTGGGTATGGTAGCTCATGCCTGTAACCCCAGCACTTTGGGAAGCCCAGGTGGGGGGACTGCCTGACCCACAGGAGTTTAAGACCAACCTGGGCAACATGGCAAAACCTCATCTCTACAAAAAAAAAAAAAAAAAATTAGGTGTAGTGGTGGTGTTGGTACGTACCTGTAGTCCCAACTACATGGGAGGCTGAGGTGGGAGGATCACCTGAGCCCAGGCAGGTCAAAACCACAGTGAGCTGTGATAGTGCCACTGCACTCCAGCCTGGTCAGCAGAATGAGACCCTGTCTCAAAAAGTAAATTAAATGGAATTTATGGTGGTAAGTTCAACATCTTGTCAGACAAAGACTGCATGGTTTCTGGAGAAATAAAGTTTCTGGGACTACTTCTAAATGGAATCTAGATGACAGTGCATTGATATAGAGTTACATTTACAGATATATTTCTAGATTAATAAAGTAAAGCATAATATCCTTTATAAATTAATGTCAAGCCTAAGTCAGACACTGAAAGCCTGAATTCTGTACCCACATAATCAACAGTCTATGGAAACTCTGGGAACCATGCCACTGGTCTCGAACCTAGCATAGTTGAGAAGTGACACATTCTTTTAAGAAACATTCATCAAGGAAATGAGTGGGTCACAAAGCAAACCACTAAAAGGTCCATAACTTGTTTTATGAATGAAGAGTATAAGGTACTAACCAAAGGTACAGCTCCCTTATGAGTATAATTTCTCATTTTTAGTTTTTATCATGGTGATGGATAGATATAACAGAACTCTAACTGGAAAAAAGTAATCATGTCAGCCATAAGGACATTGTCCATGTCATCTCATAATTGTTTTTAATCCATTTTTCTATATTTATCCCGATTCCAAGATCAGATCTTTCCACCCGCCCCTCCCCAACAAAAAAAAAAGAAAAAAGAAATCATAGACAAGAAAATACAAAGAAATGGCAGACAAGAAAACACGAGCTAATCAATTTTATTCATACTACCCATGAAAAGCAATTACATTTGTACATAAAATCATTAACACATACAATAGAAATCATAAGAGTAATACACCTGATTAGAAATAAAAAATAGGAAATATTTTAAAATAGCATACTTTAGTGATGAAATTTATACTGTTTTTCTACTTATTTATAGCAGCATCTGTAAGATTCTATTTATTTGTTCATAGTTAACTAGCAGCAAAATATTTTAAATTACAGAAATTCAGTAGATGTTTCCCTCTAATGTTTCATTGATACAGAATATATCACATTAACCAAACAAAACCCTTCTATTTCCTGAAGAGAAAAGGTGGGAAAAGAATAGTTCTGTTACCAGCTCCCCAAAAAAAGAAGAAACAAGGGAGAAAGGATGGAAGCTAGAAATATTTTGCAAGCAATTACTAAAAAATATATTCTCAACCACCTTGACCAATTATAGGTGGATTTTGTGAAATCTACATATGTGTGTGTTAGTGAAAGTTATGTTAACTTTATTTTCTGACTTTATACTGCAGTTGAAAAATATGTGGAAATTTCCAGGAGGCCTGTCAGAACCTGGAGAAGATATTGGTGTGTATCTTCCACATTTTTAATTGGCTTGAAAATGTTGAGGAAATTAATGTGTTTACTTTCTTGCTCTATAGCTAAGAATAAAAATTGAAATTTTCTAATTTGTTCAGACTAAGTCAGAACATTTCAGAGATTACCTCAGAGCTGATGAAATAAGCAGCATAATTTCTAACATTACAATTTACTCCATTAGTAGAAATAATATCATTAGGAACATACTGCCTGTTCTTCTATTTATGACTGCTTCTGGATTAATTTGTCTGAAAAGGAGAAGCTTTGGATAAACATCAGTAAAGTTTAGCATTAAAAGTTATTTTGGATACAACTAATATTGTTGTTGGAATTAAACTATGAGAAAACACAAATTTCTGACCATTCCATCACAGAGGATGAATACTAGTTTTTAAATGAACTTTGAAGTAAATATAATAAAAGTCAATTATAGAGAAGTGGTGATGTAATTCTTCTCTTTATGAAAATTGTATCTACTATTTATTTCTAATAGGAAGACAAAACATAGTAAAATGTCACATAAGAAAGTCTCAAATGAGAAATAACTCCCTAATACAACTTACTGAGCTCAACATTTAAGACAGGGAAATATAAAATAAGCTAAGAATTCTTTATGTCACTGATTTAAAGGAAATAGAAAAATAGAAACTGAATTTTCCTACCTATTCCTTAAACCATTGGATCAAATTCAATGTGTATCAGAACAAATCAGTATATTTGTTTGATACCAATATTATTTCTCCATGACCTTTTCCTTAGTATGCACATCTGCTATTCTTATTTAGCTAACAATCATATTAAGGCAGTTTTCTAAATTGGCTTTAAAAATTTTATTTTAAAATGTCTGTGTACTTAAAATTTGATTTTTAAAACTTTTACACATATCAAAATACCCTATACACATTATATAGCCAACTCCTAACAATCCATCAGCAACCAGATTGCATTAAGATATACCTCTAGCAAATCTTGGTTTCAGGTACTTATTGACCTTTTGTTTAGTTTATGTTAACTCTTCTGTTGATATAAAAGATGATTTTGTAATGGTGTGAGTGCTGAAAGAGAAGGCCATTTGTTTTACAGCCTAATTCTCTCACACTATCCACCTGTGCCATGTGAGAGCAGAGCATGTGAACTAATTAAGCTTATGTTTTGCATCCTTTCCCAGTCCATATTGGGCAAAAAGCAGTCTGCAAGTTTGTAAGGCTTCCTCTCCTGCATCTTGCCTTTTCAAATGAATTGATTTTTTTTCATGTGAACTTTTATGGGTCCTCTGAATTTCAGCTATACTTATTTGTAGATGTAAATGAAGAAACACTTATTTCCAAGCCAAATCAGTATAATTTTAGGTCTAAGTATACTCCAGAACTCTCCTTTAAGTCCTGATAATTAAAAATTAACACTTAAAAAACAGTGTTTGTGGTTGTCACAACCACCCACCTATTCAGAGATCAGAGATCATATATGCCTCAGTCATGTGAAACTAAGAAGAAAAAGCTGCAGTTAGTGTTAACCATACTTCTTTAGTATATATTAAAGATTTGACTTAAAATTAATAAAACTCTGAAAGCAGCTAGAAATGAAAACTGACAATAGAGGTCTGAAAGACTATATGAGGGCATTTCTAACTCGACATAAAAGATATTCTTAATGATCAAGCTGAAGCATCTAAGAATTACTGAAATTATTTAAACTCTATATTTAGAAAACATGCATGTACTTTAGGAATACTGCCATCACAAACAGTTAAACATTTATATTGGCTCAAATAGTAAACGCTAGTTAACTGGGAAATACATTTGTTTGAAATCCTTCATTCTTCATAATACTAGGTAAATGAAGAATTGTTATCCATAGTGTTTTTAAAAAATCAAGAGGGTCATACAGAAAATAGAATGCAATCCTCAAGGCTTTTTATAAAATAATACCTAAGAGTATAAAGGTATCTACAAGATTAAAATTGACAAACTGCCTTCCTAAAAAATCATATTACCAATGGCAGGAAGAGAATCTCCTGCATTAGCCAGAGAACTATAAAGCAGCTGAGCCTTAGCAGAGATCATCAGTGCACTGGAGTCAGAGGGAAACACCAGGAAAACCTACATTCTGCAAATTATTTCCCATTATGTTTTATTTCAACCTAATTCTATTATTAAATATAACAAAATAGAAATAACAAATATAAACTCCTTTTCATTAATGTCCTGTAACTAAACAAAATATGACATATTTAAACATATCTCTTCATCAGCAAAAATAAAACAAAACCTCTTAGTTTTTCCTATGTTCTTCAAACCTACAAAACAGTAAATGTTATTTCAGTTTAGCTAACAGTATATTAAAAATACAATAGAATAAAGTACACTGTCTTGATTAAAAATTTCAATTCATCTTGAAACCATTGGGGAAGAAGTTTTCATCTTGAGGTGGAAGGAGTCTCTGGAGACAAAAGCACTTATTTGCCCATTCAATTTTCAATCTAGTCAGTGATTCAAGTTAAACTGATCAAAACTGCTCAGGCAGCGCTGATTTTCAGTCTGCTGCTATGATGACTGCTGAACAGGGCAAATTTGCTCACTAGCCCCATCCAGTACTTTTGATTAGTACCACTGATCAGAAGTTCAGCATGTAGCTCACGGATCATGAGTGTGGATTCTTTAGTGTGTTCTGATAGCCATTGTTACTTCTTTGTACTTCTTTGAGTCTTTACATCTCCTCCTGCTA